TTTTTGTTTTTTTTTTTTTTTTTTTTGTTTTTTTGGGGGGGGGGGGGGGGGGGGGGGGGGATCAATATGTGATATTTAGCCCCTGTTAGGGCTCCATTAAAAATAGATTTTGGGGAAAATGTATTTTAAATTAGTGATTTTTGAAGAATATCTAATTAAAAAATAAGTAAAAAATTTTGATTTACATGTAACATTATTTTATTTGAGAATGTCCAGTTGAAAATAAAAAAGAGAAAAAAGATTTTTTTTCAAACGTTGAGCCAAAACAGGGGGGTAGATAGGGAGTCAATTACGAAGAATTGGATCATTCCTTCAGCAGCTGAAGTATCTATTTTAACTTTTAGTGGCTATAGGAAACATAAGATAAAGTCAAAGTAATCAAATTCTAAAGGTGATCGCACTAAGAAAGGTGCTAGTGGCAAATATGACATCTGCAACAAAGGCATGGGGATCTACTCGAGTATTCTCACTATTGCAATACCATCAAGAAGCATTCCCTCTGTTGCACAGACACTTCAACTAGGTTTAAGGTAACGTGTCTGTGTTCAACACGTGTCGATACCGACAATTCTCGGACACTCTTACCATAATTATTTTTCTTTTTCGATTAGAAGTATTATATATTTTTTAACTCAAAATTATTAGTAAATAACAAATATGTATTCATATTTAAAAGATTTCAACATGAAAAATTAATAACACATATAAAACTAAATTTATACTATATAAATGAAATATTTTACAGAATTTAATCAACGTGTCGACAATTTGCCATGCCAGTACTTCTTTGAAAAATTGCGTGTCAACGTATTTGACACGTATCGTGTCGAATACACGTATTCGTGTCAATGTATCATAGAGCATTATAAACAAAAATAATCAATATCACAGATGCTGTCCAAAATGTGTATAAATGTTCACAAAAATTGAACTAGAACACGATGTAACCAGTTTTAGTAGAGTTCACTCACGTTTGGTCCTTCCAAATCTGGTCCTGCTTCAACACGGGCAAGATAAGAGTAGCATTCATAATTTTGGCCACAGCAACAGCATTACATATCTGAATGGAAGCACAAAAATAGTCAAGCTCATATATAGATTTCTTGGGTCACTTTTAAGTGCTGAAGGTCATTTAGTTTATTTGATTGACATTTTAAATTTTCAGATGAATGTCCAAAGCAAGGCACTTCCTTCGGAACATTTGCCATTCATCAACTATGACATCAAATAAATATCAACAAATTAAATTCATTTTAAGTTTCAAAAGGATCAAAAAGTGAAATGCATGTAACCAAAAACAAATTAATAAAAACACGAGAAATTTTGCTAGATCCCAGACAAAATGCATATTAGAAGCGAAACATACAGCAATTCTTTGCTGGTTTAAACCGCCCTCAGCATGTATGAAAATATAGCCATTTGTTTCATTCTCTGATGGAATATCTGCAAGGAAACAAAATGATCATCATTCTTTAGAAAGGCCATAGCATTTCTATTTCTATTTGCAAGTAATCTTAGAGTCATTTAAATAAATATGTCGTAATCAGCCCAAAATGCAGAAATTCAATCTTACAGGAGGGGAAAAAAAAAGGGCTACTGAAGAAAGGAGAAATTATATTTCCATATGCATATTATGTTAGAGACATTTAAATACAAATTCTGATTTAAGAAGAAGAAACTTCAGAAATGACAAGAAGATACAGACACAGATAAGCTCCGTAATATCTATTATCAGTAGAGCTTCATCTAGCCTATCACATAAGTCCATCTTGAAACTGTAAAATAAGGTGGACTTAGTTTAGGATGAAAACAAGCAGTCTTAACTTATGTATTCTTTACATAGATATTAATTTAAGTTCTCACAATGGTGCTTTAACCACCTCGAATAACTGCAAAGAATTAAAATATGCACATCACGGTAGAACAACACAAACCCCATGATACGGTGCCCAAAAAGTTAAAAGAAGGAGAGAGAGAGAGAACAAGAGCGGGAACATAAAGTAACAAACTGAATGCTTTATAAAAAAAGGAAAAGCCGAACATTATAATGACATCATCCCTGGCTATACGGCCCTTAGTGATATCTGATCAACATGCAGCATAGAAGAAACACACTAATGGACTCTGTCTCAGCTGAGCAAATTCATGCGCTTTAACACAATTAAATAGACAACTTCTCCCACTTATATCAAAATTTACTTGTTTTCCAAGCCAAACAGTTTTGCATCGTAGTTATGGTCAACATTAACACGTTAGAACATGTCCACAAGACTCTCTAAATAAAAATACTCTATTTTTTAGAAAAAATTAATGCTTTAAAAAAAGCTCCAAAAGACTCTATTTTAATTTTTTTAAAATAGAGAGTAGGTTCAGATCTCCGTATTTAGAGAGCCAAACAAACTCTATTCTTATTTTATAATGATTGAATTTAATAAATTACATCTCTCAATACTTTGCTAAAATTATTCAATCTATAATTGATTGGTCATTCACATCTAAAAGAGAATGTTAAGCCCATGTCTAATTTAGATAAAAATCAGATTTTTAGCAGATTGGGTAAAAGTCCATGAAATGTCTGGTTGAAAAGTTGTGTTCCCATAAAATGTCTGGTTATTATTTTGTCATTAATTTTAATCATCTTTTTTAAGTAGAACCAAATGGGGTCTAAATAAAAGATAATGGGAAATCAATAAATGTTTATTGAAAAAAGCAAAATGAAGGGATGAAATAGAGTGCATTATTGGAGTGGAAAAAATTTTACGCTCGAAATTTAGCCCATGTTTGAGACCCATTTTTGGGCCAAAATACATTTTAGAATAGTGTTTTGTTGGAAAATATGTGATTAAAAATAAGAAAAAAAACTTAGTTTATATATTAAATTATTTTATGGGAGAATGTATAATTGAAATTGAGTTTTAATAAAATGGGGGCCGAAGATGGCTTAAGATGATCTTTATTATATATAAGATGCTCTTCTTAAGTAGAGAGTCTCTCGGAGATGCTTTTAGTGTTCTAAAAGAATGGGAGCTTGCAAATAGTTGGGTGTTCCATTAACCACATTCTATTTTTGCTTGATTCAAGCTACTAATAGAACTCTCAAGCTTTATTGGGTGTTGACCATTGGCACTAGCTCCTCAATCCTATCTACAGTTGCGCTTCTTTCCGTTAGTCTACAAAAGTTTGCGGATCCCCGCTTGATAATAGAGGTTTCTTGCTTGCTTTGGAATGAGAAGTTTGAGTTTCTTTTGAAGCGCTTCACTGAGAGTTCTCTTTTGAGTTCCTCCAAGCAATAGGGAAATGTTTATATTGCAGCTTTTTAGTTTACAAGGACGAGGCAAGAGATGAGATTCCACTTACTTTGAAAAGCCAATCAATTATACCACACAGGTCCAATTAAATTTTTCATCAGTACACGAGGTTCAAAATTGGTAAATTATCCCCATTTTCCAACTTGCTTTTCTTCAGTGTGGCAAAATCAGTCCCATCATAGCAAAGAGGCTAAGTGTATGCGTAAAATCTAGTATTTTCACTGCTGAAGTTAATTTACTCACTCAAAAAAGCGAACAGTGAGAATAAAAATTCAAAATCTTTGTAGCTTCAGATAAGGAAGATAAAGTTTAAATTGTTTTCAACAGTTATAATTACTACACCCAGCAGTGCGTGTTTACTCACCTGAAATTACGCCCTCACGACGAGCAGAACAAGGCTTCCACGATGTAGTGGCTGAATAAGGATTTTCCCATAGAGATGGAGACTCTTTTACCTGATTAAATTCAAAGATTTAAAATTAAACTGCAATCAAAACGATAAGATGACAACACGGAAGAAAAAGAAAGAAGATTAATACGAGAACTTACATAAGGGCAGATAAGAGTTATGCCATCTTTTTGGCACAAGTATGGAGCATTCTGCAACAGGTGTAGAGAGGAGGGCAATATGATAATCGTTAGAATTCAGACAGCACATTGACCACATATATACATATATATACACACACTTTCAATAATACTCGATGTACTCATTGCATTTAATAAATAAAATGGCTAATGATTAAAAAAAAATGAAAAAGAAAGAAAGAAAACGTCTTATAGTTCATATCTATCTTAATTTACTAATTTTAACATTCTGCATAACAAATTCATATTTTTCATAATGACATTTACCCATTAAGTGAGTACCAAATCTTTCAAACTGACGCAACAATATGACTGAGATCAACGAATACAAGAATAAATTTACATATCACAAAGCGTATGAAAAACAAAACGAAGCCTTTCAGAGAAATTACTCTTTTTTTGCTATAACTAAATATGACGCTTGAATGCACACACACATAAAAATAAAGTCTTACAAATCTATTGACGATAGAAGAAATCGAAATCACGGCCGTGAGAACAATTGCAACGAGTATAAAAAGCGAGATCTTGGAGTTGTGAGGGTGGGGCCTATGTAGATCGTCAATCGGGAAAATCGAACGAGGGAGGAGCGATTGGATGTAAGACCGGAAAGAGCGATCACGAGGGTGTCGATCGCGGAAGTCGTCATCGTCGTCCGCTGCGGACGGGTGATTGTCGGGGGACAATGGGGATGACGCCATCACGGAGGCAGTAGGGGACGGCGTCGCCCTATTGCCGATGGAGCTAGAATGGCGAAGCTCCGCCGTCGCTCGCTTCGGGCTATACGCCAGCTTCCTGCTGGCGTCACTCGGCTTGCCTTCGGCTTGTTAGTCGGCTCACTGCACTGTGTGTGTCAGAGAGGAGGGGGAAGAGGACAATTATCTAGCGTTGCTGACACTCCCATGTGACTGACTTCAGATCGTATATAAAAGTTACAACTAGCGTTCCCCATATAAAACTTATCCCCGTTATACTTCTCATTAAATTACATTTTACTTTTCTCTCTTCTATTTTCAATCATATAATTTTTTATAAAATAATATTACTGTTTTTTTAACTACTCATTTTTCAAAAAAAAAAATCATTCGACTCATTTTCATTTTAAAAAGTGAGAACCAAACAGGAACTTAATGATTTCGTTTCATAAAAATTGATGATGTTTGCTTAAGCTTATAAAATTACTTATAAGTTCATCTTAAATACTCCCTCAAAACACTAAAATGCATCAAAAAATTGTGCAAAACAACTCCAAAATAAAATCAAACTTTGTACAATTGCAATACTATTCACTTTGTGTCATTTGTGCTATATTTTTTTAATATAATAAATTATATTATTATGATTTTATTATTATTATTTACATTTCAAATAGATTCTAAATGTAAAAAATAATAATTAATTAAAATAAGAATACAAAAAAATTAAAATATAAAAAACACAATTATTTAAAGTTAACAAAAAATATATTAAACAACGACTTACGTACATTAATCCAATTTTATTTAAAGAAAACGATATATAATTGCATTTATCGATTATTTGTGGGAAGAACATACGAATTTCGAAAATTAAATTGCAATGATATTTCGACTTCGTGATATTATAACATCCAAATTAAAAATGCACTGTACTATTTTTTAATGGCGTCATTTAATATTTTCATTTATTAGTATTTTTACTAATTGTATTATGTTTTTAATATTTATTAATGTATTTAATCTTTTCTTTAATTTAACTTAATTATTTCTTTATTAAGTTAGGCGTTTGTAAATAAATGATATTTCAAATAAATAAATTATTAACAATAAATAAAGAGAAAAAATGGTTAAACGTTGTTCATTTGATGTAAATTTTGGTGTAACGGTTGAAGATGAATTTTAGTTTGGTACAAAATTTGGTGCAAAATAATGCAAATTTTGTTTCATGACTGGAGTTGGCCTAAGTAAATAAGAAAATTAGTCCTTATTTGGTTCTATATTATTAAAAATGTATTTTTTTCTTGTTTTTTAACTACATATTTTTTAATAAAATAATATTATATGTAAATCCAAATTTTTTTTCCTTTTTAACCATATATTCTTTAAAAAATTACTATTTTAAAATATATTTTTTCCTCCAAGAATACATTTTAATGGAGCCAAAACAAGAGCTTCTAAATAAAAAAAAATAACAATAAAAATATGACAAGCTAAAGCAACAATTCAGGGTTCACCGTGGGCCTTTATTTATGGCTATTTTTTCAATTTTAATATTCATAAACTTGTAGTAAAAAAATAAGCTCCTGTTTGATAAAAGATAAAATCCAAATTTTAATATAAATTAAAGTCAACAACTAATTTTAACCATAATTTATAGAATTCACAACTTTTTAACCACAAATTTTATCAATTTTTTTATCAGAGTTTATTAAGATTGTTTTATTGACATGAAATTATCGCTTATAAAAAAAATATTTTCCTTTCTTGAGGAAAACAAAAACATACCTTGAAAAAAATTCCTTAAAAATAAAGAAAATTAGGCATATTTTCAAAAGTTATAAAATATTTTCAATGGGACAAAATAAGAATCAAACATCCAAAGTAGGTATTTGGATGAAAAACTGATAATTTTCATGAAAAATATATACAATCAAACCATCGTAAAATTTTGATTTTATTTCCCACCAAACAGGGACTAAATAATAATTCTACCCTATTTGGGCTTCGTTTTTATTTTAATGTATTTTTCTCTTTTTTCATTTTCAACTACACATTTTTTAATAAGATTATACTACAAGTAAATTCAAAACTTTTCCATACTTTTTATTGAGACATTTTTAAAAAAATTATTATTTCAAAATATATTTTTATCCAAAAGCCTCATCATAAAATGGAGCCCAAACAAGGGCTAAGCCCCAATGATTTATTTTGACACAAAAAAATTGAGAAATTGACCAAAGAAGGGTTCAATTTAGAACTGGTCTGAAGCTTGTCAAAACGATTTTAATAGTTGGAAAATGGTAATTGAGTCAAGTCTAATTGGGGCAAATAGATCGAGGATAAGGTAATCGTTCTCACAACATTTTGGAATATGTTTATAAACTAATACGAGCCAAAGTCACCTAGGCAATATTCTAGGACCTCAAATTTCAGGGGCCTCAAAGAAAAATAAAAAATAACCTTGGGTCATTAAATCTACCCCTACATTTCAGCAAGAAATTATTTCTGCGGATGTACATAATTTGGCTGAATTGAACTGCAATTCTTCAGCAGAACCAATTTTTGCAGGAACCTATTTGAGAAGATATGAATTTGCTCCTGACTTTGCTAGTTTTGAAGCTGCCCAAAGAAGAGAGGGTAATTATTTTTTTGTCTGGAAATTTGTCTTTTACTTCACTTAGTGCAAATCTTACTTCAAATAGTGTGGATATTAAAAATAGGGTTGTGCTACTCGTACATGGAGTCTTACACTCCGGTTGATATGGGCTCACCTTTCCTCTCACATGGGGAGCTCAGCCCCACACATTTGGGTGTGGACCCCGACCTCTTCCATGTAAGAGGTCGGGTGGGACCGTGTCAATCGGAGTGTAAACCTCTATGTACAAATAGATTAAACCTTAAAAATAAGAGTAGATTATCAGTTGATGAATTTAAAGAATAGGTTCATGTAATAACCTCTAAAAAGAGAAGAATCTCAAGATTTGGAAGAGAAAATTGATAGTATTATGGGGTACGTAGTAATAGGCAAGAACAAATGTCGAATGAGTAAAACTAGGATTGAGATCCAGAAGAATGAGACAGTTTGTGATATTACAGAAGGGATATGGATTTTTTTTCTTTTTTCATGAAAGTTATCCCTTGCACACGAACATTCGATGTCAATTTATAGATGAAGGTATTAATTGTTTGGCTAATGAAACAATTGACAAAGATTACATTAAATGGAGATGGCAGCTTCTAGATTGTGAAATTCCTAGGTAAGCCCTCACCCTCGAATTCATATGTTACCTCGTTATATCGTGAATTATTGTAATTTTGTTAGTATTTGGCACCCATTAAAATTTTTTTAATAAAATAATATTATACGTAAATCGAAAATTTTTCTTTCTTTTTTGACAACTCATTTAAAAATTAAAAAAATATAAAAAAAATCACTACCCAGAAATTATAATCTCATTTAATTGGGGCCAAATGGGGGCTAAATTTGGCGTAAAATACTCTTCAAAGAGAGGACCAAATATAGTGTAATGAATAATGTGACACCCAATATGAGAATTTGCGATGGTCTCCATTTCGCCTCCCTTCCCCATTTTAACAAATATTTATTCCATCCATATCCTTTTTATATTTTAGAATTAATAGATTTTAATTAATTTATAATTATTTTAACGTGATCATTATTTTTATTGAATATTTATTTTTAGAAATTATAATCAATTAATAACTAATAATTATTGATACAGTAGATTAAAATCGTTCATTAAAAAAATCAAAAATAATAAATTTGATACTTAATAAATTAGTAATAGAACAACATAAATATCTTAAAAATATAAATTAAAAGGACAATACAACATACTAACAAAATAATTTAGTATTGTGTAAAGTCTTTTCTAGTTCTACCAAGACAATCAAAATATTCACCAAAAGAATTAGAGGTAATTTAATACTTTGCACTCGAGATGCATCAAGTGATCATGTATGAGATGAAAATACTTATTTCGATAAATAAATGACCAAACGAGTTGTCATTTTCATTATATGTAATTTTTCTTGTGCATTCAATGTAATTTTTTTTAATTGCGGTATTATGCTTAATGTGTTTTTTTCTTTTTTCTTTTTTCAATTTATCAATGAAATCAGTATTTTAACGATTTTTTGTAATAATATAACTGGTAATTAAATAATTTAATCCAAAATTTGGTCTGAAACCATCTCTAATAGTCTACACTAAATTTGATTTAATTATGAGGTTACACAAAATTTTACATTAAGGGTGTGTTTGATTGCAAATATTTTTCATGGAAAATGTGTTTTTCCGCTCAAATTATTGCTTTTGTACTGTTAGATTGCCATATTTTCATGGAAAATATTTTCGTACTTTTGGTCACGTGATCATATTTTCCTCGAAATCAAGGAAAATATTTTCTTCAATGGGAGTAGAATTTTATTTTCCAAGGAATTCACACACACTCTCTCTCTCATTTATCCACTCTCTCATCTACCCACTAATAAAAAACAAACAAGGAAAATATTTTCTAAGTTAAAAATTAAATCAACCAAATACATTTAATTGATAATTTTCATGCTTAGAATTTATTTTCTTTTCATATAAATTCCATTCTTGTAATTAAAAGCACCCTAAGGGCCTTTTTGATACCTCCATTTTCCATGGAAAATGGAAAACACTTTCCATTTCCATTCAAAAATGGGCCTTTTTGATGCCTCCATTTTCCATGGAAAATGGAAAACACTTTCCATTTCCATTCAAAAATGCATGTTTGATGGCAAAAAAATTCCATGGAATTGGTTTTTTTGGTACAACCCATTTATGCACCGTTTTTTTAACCTTTTTAAGGAAAATGTTTTCCCATAGGTTTGGTGATTTTCGTTTTTCAGTTTTTTTTTCCCAATTGAAACAAATTTTATCCCTTTAATTGACAGTTTTCATAAAAAACAGAGCCAAACGAACACCCAAAAATCCAAAATTTCAATATTTTCTATGTGAAAAATTATACCAATCAAACACATTTAATTAACAATTCTCAGTGCAATCAAACGGACCCTAAATTTGATGTCACTGGACAAGGTCCAAAACTTGCATATAAGCCCCCATCTAAAATTTAGTGTCCCACTTCCAATTATAGCTAGTCAAGAAAAACCTCTTTATTCCTTTCATTAAGTTAAATCATATGTTTCAATCTGTTACACTTGGAAAGTCCAAATAGAGAAGCCTAGCCATACAGCTTAAATATGAGAATCATGTTATGCTACCAGAAAATGGTTGACATGCAATCCGAATCATATTCATAATGAGGGGGCCCACTTTTTTTTGACCTTTTTATTCACTCGAAACTTACGCACATGTGAGAGAATGTCAACTAAGGTGACAAATTATTTTTTGGCAAACCAGCTTATTCTAAATATGATTACTCTACGGACATAGATCATAGTATTTCTCCATGACTATTGATTTCCTTTTCAATTTTGGATCCCCTTATTATATTCACTGTTTTTATTGAGATGCAGAACCCATTTTTGTGAGTGGGAGTAGTGTAATAAACAAATGGAATATAATACAGTATCTCCAACTTATAAACTATCCAATGTAAAGCTACATGAGAGTACCCCTTTTTCTGATTTGAAAACCAAGCAAAATCATATTACGAGAGAGATTAAAACTTAATTTGAGTAGTTTAATTACTAATTTTGCATCTCAAAATAGGAAAGATTGTACAAAGTTTTCAATTAAATAAAAATATATTATTTATTTAAATATTTAAGTTTGCTACCCTTGCAATAAAATAATTTCTAAGGGCCTCATAATAATTACTTGCCTTGGAACCTCCAACGTCTATGTGTTGGGCCTATTTATACATTGTTTAAATTATAAATAAATAGAAGTAAATGACGTACAAATGAGCAATATTTATAGATTTTTCGAAATACATGATTAAAAAGTAATTTAAATATCTATAAATAGTGGGTTAATTTCACAAGCGTTCATTGAACTTACCCAAAAAATACAAAATGGTTACTGAAGTTCAAAACTATCAGAAACGATCATTGAAGTCTAGTGCGCTTTTAGAAATAGTCATTGAAATTTACAAATTTGAAGAAATAGTCACCCAGATTTTCATATTTTTAGGCGAGTTTTGCAGATATTTTCTGGCAACTTCCGATCACTAAGATCGTCGAATTTGAATACTGTTGGAAAGCCCACAATGTCATCTTCAATTACCATTCAAAATCTTCCCATAACCCAAAAGGATTCGGTCGGAACAAGTCCACAAAATCATCTCCTAGAAATCTGAAAATCTATCCAATTTTTTTGGATTTTTGGGCTAGTTTTGCAGGAATTTTTCGACAACTTCCGACCACCAAGACCATCTGATTTGGATACCATTGAAAAACCCACAATGTCCTCTTCAATTACCATCTAAAATCTCCCTATAACCCCAAAGGATTCGACAGTGATAAGCCCACAAATTCAGCTCTCCGAAATGTGAAAATCTACCTAGATTTTTTAGATTTTTGGGTGAGATTTGCAACAATATTCCGGCAACTTCCAATCACTAAGACCGCCGGCTTTGGATACCATTGGAAAGCCCATAATGTCCTATTCAATCACCACCTAAAATCTCTGCAACTTCTGACTACCAAGACAACCTTATTTGGATATCGTTGGAAAGCCCAAAATATTCTCTTCAATTACCATCCAAATCTTCCCTCCAAAGGATTCGGTCGGGATAGGCCTACAAAGTCAGCTCCCCGAAATGTGAAAATCTGCCTAGATTTTTTAGATTTTTGGGTGAGATTTGCGACAATATTCTGGCAACTTCCGACCACATAGACAATTGGATTTGGATACCGTTGGAAAGCCCACAATATCCTCTTCAATTACCACTCAAAATCTCTTCATAACTCCAAAAGATTCGACTGGAATAACCCACAAAGTTAGCTCCCCAAAATCTGAAAATCTGCCCAAAATTTTAGGCGAGATTTCCTGCAATTTTTCGACAAATTTCGACTACCAAGATCGCTGAATTTGTATACCATTAGGAAGCCCACAATGTCCTACTCAATTATAATCCAAAGTCTCCCCACAATTCCAAAGGATTCAGCAGGAATAAATCCACAAAATCAGCTCTCCGAAATTTAAAAACCTGCCCAGATTATGGGGAGTTGACTTTGTGAGTTTTATTCCGGATGAATCATTTGGAGTTATGAGGAGATTTGGATAGTAATTGAAGAGGACATTGTGGACTTTTCAACGGTTCCAAATTGGACGGTCTTAGTGGTTCGAAGTTGTCGAAAAACTCTGCCAAAATTTTGAAAAATCTGGCCAGGTTTTCAGATTTCGAGGAGTTGACTTTGTGAGTTTATTTTGAACGAATCCTTTTGAGTCATGAGAAGATTTTGGGTGATAATTGAAGAAGACATCGTGAGGTTTTCAACATTATCCAAATTCGACGGTCTTGGTAGTCGAAAGTTGCCGAAAAATTGCAGCAAATCTCACCCAAAAGTCTGAAAATTTTGGATGGCAGTTTCTACAAGTTTGTAAACTTTAGTGATCGTTTCTACAAGTTTTAAACTTCAGCAATCATTTTGTAATTTTCATGTAAGTTCAGTGACCATTTGTGAAATTAACCCATAAATACTTTAAAATATATGAGTCAAACATAAGCTTATTTTTTTTCAAAGGTATACAAAAAAACTTTAATTTACATAATACATTTTTTTTTTTTTGGTCAGTCAACATTTTTCCGCCCTAACATGGTCCGTCTTTTTCTTTTATGAAAGTAATTCTTTACATTTATATCATAAATTAATAACACATTAATTACTTATAAGTAAATTTTGTTTTTAGTAATTATTTAAAAATATTTTTTTCTCATACTCAAAACATTATTCAGGATAAAAAAATATTATTCACATTTCTCTTTTAACAATTTTTATTCCTCAACTTTTAATCATACATTCTTTTCCAAAAATCACTTTTCAGCAATAAAAAATTCGCTTAGCCTATTGCCAAACAATGATATTCACTTGTTTCTTCTCAAGGGTTTAAGGACGCACTGGCACAGACGCACAGTACACACTGACAGCGAACGATAATTTAGGGCCGCTGCATGTACCGATGGAGACGAAGAGGGTTCGATTGGTGTTCAAAAATGACGAGATTTTGAGAGAAACACAGAAATCGGATGGCTTGAATCGATGCTGGGTTTTGTTGAAATCCGATCAACACAGGACAGTAGCCGATGTCGCCTCTCACCTCCTCCAAGCTTTCCAGCTCCACCAGTCCTGTCCCCATGGCCTCCTTCTCTCTGTAATATTCCATTTCTATTTGTTAATTCTGTGTTTTGGGTTCTGTTCAGTGACTGAATTGGGAATGTGGTACTCTGATTTTAGAGATCATTTTATTATGTGTGTTTTTAGAGGGGATGCTGTTGGTACATTGTACAAATATCTGATGCTTACTGCGTTTTTTTTTCTTTTTCCTTCCTAAGGTTATGTATTTTTTTTTCCTTCTATGTTTGATTATTTGCTCTAAAATGTGCACAAAGAAAATTCTTCCTTGCTAAAATAGAAAAGCTAAGGTGTTTACCTTTTTCTTGATGATCTTCCAAATAACTGAAACTGCCTTGCTGATTTTATGATGTTTGTCGTCATTTGCTGGTGTGTATGTGTTTATTATTTGCTCTTTTGTTGTTGGAGGTTCTACTCTTCTGGTTAAATTTTATTGGAGCGAATGAGATGCTCAACGTTTAAAAAAAATAAATAAATAAAAATGCAATGGGGGTATTTCTATGTAAGAATTCATTTATCATCGTGGATAATTAACTTCATTGATTAAAAAAAAAAAAAAGAATCAGTAGAATGCTTTTTTTTTCTCAAAATCAACTGGACTATTGTTGAGAGAGATGAAATAAAAAAGTTTCGGTTTTGGGTAATAGTTTTTCTTTGTTGTTGATATTATTAATTCTTACTAATTTCATGCAGATGGACGGATTTGTGTTGCCACCTTATGAGTCAACTACCATTTTGAAGGATAAAGATCTGATCAGGTTAGTTTATCTGTATAATCCTTTGCAGAAGAAATTGAAATTGGTAGCATTATGATTTTACCTTTTTGCATTTACGTGTGGAATTTACACGTATTATTTTTCTTATGTGGTGTCAGAGTAAGGAAGAGAGAGGATGCCTTGTTTATAGGAGGTCATAATGCTGCTCATTCAGTCAAGAAATTGAAAGCTTTGGAAAATCAACCTGTAAATAGCAGTTTCTTGCTTTTATCAAACGTGGAGTTTGAGAAAGGAAAAGAAGTTTATGAGAGTGATAAGTCTGAAGAGGAGAATGACCTCTTGGAAAATGTGGAGAATCCACCTGCTGTAAATGCAGATTCCAAGAAGCGAAAAAGAAATGGATCAGAGAAACTTCAATGTTCCATGTATGTTATAATCTATGCTATCTTGCTTGCTTGTTATTATGGAAATCATCATGTTATACTCATATTTGCAATTCAATGCCTTAATGGATTTGTAAATATAAAACTTTTGTGATATATAGGAAGAAAAAAAAACGTTCTGAGGCTCCTGAAACTGTTGCAAGTGACAGTCATGTTGAAAGGATTAAAAACCCTCAGCAGGATGGAGTTTCAACTAAACAGAATAGCCTTTCACAGGTGGAGAAGAAATCTGATTCTAACGACAAAGGAAACAAGGAAAACAATCAGGAAAATGCTAAATTAAGTGACGACAATGATGATTCTACGCCAAGCACAAAAAGGTAGGTTTCTGCATAAGATAATCTTTCCCTTTTCAAGATGATGTTCCCTGTTTATTGTTTAACCTCTAACGTTTGATTGGACCAGCTAAAATACAAGAAAATGTCCTTAAGGTTCTTTCTATTTTTATGCGTGATTAGAATTTTACAAAATTTTAGATCTTTTACCTATTATACAGGGTCATTCAAACTTGAATTTCCTGTTGAATTTTTATTGAGGTCTAGAGACCATCCTGTAAAAGGCTAATGCCTATATGGTAGAATGAGAATCTTTGTCAACATATGAATAGCTGTTACTAACAAGACCAAGAGTTTTCATTCATCTCTTTGTTAAAAGGGACTAGGCATGGATGCCAAAGAAATGAACTTGAAGAAGTGCCCACTGTGTTGATGGTGCAGGGTGCTATTATTACCTGAAATTAAATTTTCCCAGTGGCTATTTCCCTTTGGACAAGTGAAAAAGTAGTTTAATCGAGTGAATGGAAAATTGAATGATGGGTTTTATATATCAGTGTATATTGTTGCATTGGAGATGCCAAAGAACTAATTGAATATCCAAATTTTCTTGATTTGGGGTTTAAAAAAAGAATTCTACGTTAAAAACTATTTCCTCAGTATACCATCTTTATCTCTTATTTCGCGACATTAAATAAACTGAAACATTGGACCTACTGGAATTAGACAAAGGGAATATGAGGTAGGCCATGTATCTGAATTGTGAATTGACAATTTTAGTAAACAACAAATTAGAAAGGGCACTACGAGTGCATATGTGCCTACTTAAGGAAGGTGTACCCTTTTGAGAGATCCCATGGAGAAAAAATATTTGAAGAGGGGAGTATATTTTGCTTGGATAGATCTTGTAACTGGGGTTTTGACGTGTATCTCTATTAGTTTTATTTCTTCAAGCTTGTATTTGATAGCCCCTTGGCAACCTTTTCTCATTTCACTAGTGACATCCCTAAGTTTTGCTGTCTGGAGAAATGGCTCATTGGAATATTAGCTGCGAAATATTGTGCTACGATAGCTCCTTTAAATGTTTAAGCATGTATAATGCATCTTTAAATACACCGACTGTTTCTAACATCACTTCTTTTGCTTAGTAGATTTCTTAACTTTCTTTTGTGGTTGTGTTTGTAGAAGTTTGGAGCTTCAAGAGAATGGTGAAGAGAGTAAGGATGCCAGCCATGCACCTAAGGAAACTAAAAAGGTCTTTTTTAAGTACTGTATTAATAGAAGATATGTGGGTCCTGTAAGCTTTGACTGTACTTGTATATATTTATCAGAAGTATTACTGTATAGTAAACTAAATATCAAAAGATTCTGCTGTCTTTTTATGGAAATTGTGGAGAGGTTGATATTTGGAAATTCATATCAAAACTAATTATTTGAGGAGCTTGTAAGAATTAAGGAAGCTTACCTTTTTCCTGAAAATTGTTTTCTACTTGTTTAGCACATTCTTCCAGTCTTTTATATTATTCCCAATTGCCAATTTTCTCAGCTCAGAAAGCAAAATGCTCCAAGCATTCTTGTATGATCGTGATTCAGTTTTTTGAGGGCATTGACTTAAGTAGCATCACCAATACCTGTTCTCTATTACTAGTTTAAATTTTGATATTCTACTTTTATATTGGATCTTTTTCCTCTCTCTCCTCTTGAAGGAACGACCTAGAGATCTATATGGATTGTCCTGTATGTTTGCAGGTTCCAAGTAGAAATGCTAGGCGGAAACGTGCTAAAAGGCAATGGTTGCGTGAAATGGCGAAAATTCAGAAGAAAAATGCAACTTCTGAATCAGAAAGTCTTGTAAGTTGACCAATGTAAAAGACTCTTCCAACATCACGTACCTGACTTATATTGGAAATTGACTACCTCAAATTTACAGAGAAATTGGAAAGAGGACCAAGCTAAAGCTGAAAAAAATATGGCGGATGGCCAACCAAGAGGAGTGGTGAGTGATCAATGTCTCGTTAAATCTAACCATGTTTAATATTGACATAAAATGTCAATTTGCAGTTACATTGGAAGCAATATCCTGGAAGTAAGACGTCTAACAATATGGAAAAACATCAACAACAAAATCAAGATATAAATGCACATAAACACTCAAATAGAAATGGTTCTACTTCCTGGCATTCAAATCAATATAGTGATGAGGAGGCTGAAGTTGTTCCTGTTGTTGTAAGGCCGGGACACATCCGCTTTGGGAATGTGGTGAAAGGTCAAACTCTCTCTCTCTCACATTATGAGAATATTTCATTTTAGTGTTTGTGATTAAGTGTGCATGTGCTGTTTCAAGCGAATTGTTATTTAGCAATTTAGCTGATTGACTGAATTATGCTTTCCCTAATTTAAATGATGGATGGGAATTTGCACAGCATCTTAGTTGGCTTGTGTCTCAGTTCTGAGCCTAGCAGTGAGTTCAAATGCTCCATTTGGGAAGAATTTATAAATGGTTTAATTATAAATAGGTAGAAATGAGTGGTAGATGAATAAATAGTATTTGTTCGTCCATTGAAATGTGTAATGGAAGATAAAAAGCTTGTTTGATACAGATTTTAAGCCAAATAAAACCAATTTTTTTATCGTTATTTTACTATTCCAACTGTCATTTTTGAATTCTTCTCTCACAGGTAGGATTCACTTTATCTCTAACGGTCAAAAAATCAATTATCAAAATCCCTACCAAACAAACACAAAGTTTGACCATTTATAAATTATTTATATATTTCGCTAAACAGAGGCTAAATATTTCATTAACAATCAGATCTGTTAATTTGATTTTGTCTCTTCTCATTTAGGAGTGGACTAGGACTTAATAAATTGGGAGCCTTTCCCTGTTTCCAATGACCGTTTTGTAAGCAGACACAATTATGTAAAGAAGCGGATTAAGTAATTAGGCTATCCTGATTCACTTCCATGTAGAATGTTAGTCTTCATAGCTATTACTGTTGTGAAGATAATGTTGCAATGTTGTTTTATTCCATTCATGTTTTTAACTTCACAATTGGAACGTTGCTACCTGTTCACATATTGGAATTGCGTGATATCAGCATTATACACTGTTCAGAGTTTTGATCTATGAGTATTTTTCTTATGCAGAACCAGCTATGCCTAAGAGTCAAATACAGGTGGTATGTTTCTTTTTGTAAATTATGATACTTATTACAGTCAACAGTATCACTGTCTTTTTGTTTTTCACTGTCTTTTTGTTTTTCTTGTTATCAAAATATCAAGGTACTGCATTACTTTTTCTTGTTTTATCGATTATGCTTTAAACATGTATAACCTTAGCCTTTATCTCCAATTTCATTTTTTCTTTTTCATTGCATACCCACATTGATATCAGTAAACATGAAGTTTGTCTAAAAGTTAAGATGTCAAAATACTTTTTTGGGTTTTTTTTTCTCTTTCTGCTTTGCAATTCATTGATGTTAGGTCTTTTCAATTGCGCACCTCTGAAGAAATTTTCTGTTTTCCTTCAGGAAAAATCCCAAAGGAATGGAATTACCAGCAAGAAGGGCCAAAAATGGGGTACCACAAAATGTCCATTCACTCGAAGAAATGACTGTAAAGATTCAAACAAAGATTGTTCTGAAACACCGAATAATGAAAAAGAGACAATGTCATATACCGGAATTGACTTTGATAACCTTCAGCCCCTTTGTAGCATGCCCAAGGTATATTCTTCTTGATATACAATTTCATGGTTTACTGCCATCTGTGTTTTAAGTTACTTTTTATGAAGATTGGGTAGTAAGATTTAAAATCATATATGGAAATATTATTCTAATTTTTCTGACCATCATGTCAAGCTTATGATGCATATTGCACAATGAAAAAACTTGTGTAACTCATCAGTGTCAAATTTCTTCTTATTCATTCTGCAGGAAGGAGATGTGATCGCATATCGGACTCTGGAGTTATCATCATCCTGGATCCCTGAGCTTTCACCCTATCAAGTATAGCACGCTTCTAATAAGAATTTGATCAAAAGTTTAGCTCACCCACAGACAACAGTAATTGCTTTTTAACATTTTTCCTTCTTATAGGTTCGAAAAGTATCATGGTATGATGCTGGATCTGGTCAGATTATGCTGACACCGGTCTCAGAATACCCAGTTGTTTCTAAGAAGTTAGATGATGATAAATCTACACAGCCAAATAACTACCTTCACAAAGACGATGAAGCGTTGGAGGTAACCTAATCAAATTGCAATCCTTCTTCAAGCATTTTCTTCTTAAGGCTTCTTCTGTTAAAGAGTAAAAGCTCAATTCTTGGATTGTTTGTTTTAATATAGTTTATCTTGAGCAGATTGATTTCTATTCACTTGTTGATGTCCGTATAGTAAAAGGTGGCAGTTCAGGACTAATAAATGTAGGCCCTAGTTGGGTAAATGGAAGTCCCATGGGCAATGAAAGTGCTGCAATTACTGTATCGTCGAGCAGTATTAATAAACAAACAGTTGTCCCCAGCCAAGGTATTTATATTTATTCACCACTACACTTTATGAGAATAATTTACTGTCTTTTGTTCTGACATCGTTCTTTCTTTAGAGAACGAAGGAGTAAACAATGGTAAGCCAACACATGCCCCTGAAGCAGGTACTTGTTCTTTTCGCTAGTAGTTAAAATTTGACGTAATCCATTCAGATGGCTTGATAAAATGGTTTATATAATTGTAGAGATTGGGGGTATAAGTGCTTGGGACATTTTTTTGACTGAAACTTTACCTGCCGGGGAGGAACAACCATCAGAGAAAAATAGCTGGGGCAAGTATGCCAAGGTACAACTTTATGCCAATACTGTACAAACACAGCAGGAAGATAGCTGGGACAAGAATGCCAAGACGGTACATTCAGTGACAGATGGTAGCTGGGGCAAAAATACCAAGTCGGTACAATCACAGCAAGAAAATAGATGGGGTCAGAATGCCAAGAAGGTGCAATCCCCAGGGGAAAATAGTTGGGGCAGGCAGAATGCAGGCCGAAAACCATGTTCATTTAAAAGTTCGAGAGGTGGTGCACATGGCTCAACTATGTCTAGATGGAAGAATGGGAACTAGTTCAAGGTATTCGTTTGTACAAATTCTATGTTCTACCTTGTGTTTTTGTAATCCTGCGGCAGTAAATGACTATATACCTGCATTGTAGTACACGGGGATCTTCTCCGAATGTTACCCCATTTGCAGAATTTTAAACAGCTCGGTTCTATTTATTGTTGTTAGTCATAAGAGGTGATTAAACTTGTGTAATATTAGCATGAATGTCCAAAACCTTTCTATGCCTTTTGTTCGCTTTGATTTGAAATTGATGGATTTGCATGTTAATGGTATACATATATTGCACAAGAAACATATATTGCACAAGAAACAACACCTGACCTACTCTGCCGTCAATCAGACAAGCAATATCATATTTGTAGTGATTGGGAATTGCTGTGTACTGGGAAGTTTTACATGGTTTTGTAACCATGTACAATGAGATATTTGGCAATTTTTCATTAGGCATTGGCAAAAAAAAAAATCCAACCAGGTGCTGAATCTGTTTGTGCCGGATCCTTTGTACCAACAGATTAATCCATCGTGATTCACCTTCAATCTGTCAGCTACATTGACTCGTCATTTTCATGTTTTTCTCAAAATGCCAAAACTCTGTTCCTGTGTAACAAACTAGTGAACCTAGGAGTCTTCTAATGCTCTATTTTTTTATTTTATAATTAAAAGCAACACCATAGGTGCTGAATGTTGACATATTCTGAGGCACAATATTAATGGGAAATTGTACACTTATTCTGAGGGGATTCTGTAATCATAATTCCTAAAATTGTAATCAGAAACTTACTCTTTATACATGCTCATCTTGGATTAAAATTTAAGTTCGCTTCCATCTCACAAGTAGGACCTGGATTCATACTGCCACGGGATGCCAACTCATTTCATTAGAGTTGTAGACACAAGTTCGTGCTCTTATTCAGATTTACTTGATCAACTGTTTAAGTTCTTCCTTAATGAAGAAAGAAGTTCGAGGAGCTGCGCTGGTTCCTGACCTTCCTCGACCATCTGAAATTCCAAAAACACATGCAAATACAAGAGTTTTAGCCACTGCACATGTGAAATTGAGACAACCATGTAAAAGAGCACACGAGTTGTGACAAGAATTGCAATCCCTTAATTGCTTATAGAACTAGCAAAAGGTTACCTAGATGCTCGACAAATGCAAAGTAACCAGAGATTTAGCCTTATAGTATGTTTGACACACAGTAGTGGGCATGACTAGATAATGCAAAAGATAAGATTTTAATTTCTTTTTCTTTCATTCTGCTATCCGGCGCCACCTAAACCACCCTACTAGCCTTTGTTTAACAATCATATTTGGAAAAAACAAAGTTTTGAATTGTGATTTTTAGAAGAATTTGCGGGAAAACTTTTGGGTTTACGTGCATAATATTTTATTGTGTGAATGTGTGGTTGAAAATAAGTATGTAGAAAAAAGAGTATTCAAATAATGGTTGTCAAATAGGGCTAAACAATGTCATAAAGTGATTGTTTGTTAAACAATTTTAGTTGCTACTTCTTCAAGCCTATAGTCTGACGCTCTCATTTTCACGCTTTCACCTAATGCCTTGGATATTTTCATCCCCTAACCATTCTCCTAAACACTACTTTTTTTATGACTTACAATCAGTCACATATCCAATAGTATAATTCTCATAAATACAGTTGTATCTAAACTTAAACATGACTGCAACAAAATCAATTGTATATAGTNAAAAAAAAAAGAACTTCTCATCTCTCTTTTAACACCTTATTTGTATGTAAACTATTATGTAACTCTATTATATAGAAGTAGCATTGTTCATAGTATCATTCAAATATAGAGGTCGTGTATGTACCTTAATTTGAGCATTTGTGTCAAAACCCTTCTCGGCAAGAAAACTACGACAAACGTTCTCCAAATGTGCAGGACTATTTTTGCATTTTCCGTCATCAATCGACTGATCATGTCCTCCATTCTGCGATACTTCATGCCCTACCCACATGTATAAAATATTGGCATTTTCCCCCTCGGAACTCACTGAGGGCACAAGAATGATGTAAATGGATCTAGAATCTAAGATGACACAATGTGTGTCCATTTTATCCATCGAAGGCCACTGGTAGAATAATAAGTCAGTTGGTTGTGCTATTCTATTGGTCATATCATTCGACATCAGATCAAATGTGTTGCACATTCTGTCATCTTGTGATCGACTTGGGAGTTCATATTCAGTCGTCTGGTCATCAGAATCTGATAATGGCTCTTCTCTGTCCATCTCAAAAGAATCATTGTGTCTCGAGGTGCTGCATTCGACGTCCCTCATTATATCATCTTCTATGCAAGGAAGAGAGTTCGAAGAGTTTTCTGGAATCTGAGATACCTCATCAACAGAGGGCAACATCATACGAGGAGGACGAATGTTCCCTCTACGTTCTGCAATGGATAGTGAACGTTCTTTAAAAGACAAACAACTGCCTGTTGCTCTCAAAGTGCTACCAGCTGAAAATGCCTCTTCCGGAGGAGGGGAAGTTACTTTATGAAGTAAACATTCACTTTCCTCTGCGGAGCCACCCCTGTCAAGATGGGGATCTTTATATTCTAATCCGGAAGGTGAAGTCAGAGCCGAGAAATATGATAAGTCGGACCAGTTAGATGATGAGGGTGAGAAGGTAAATGAACTCGAATAATCAGAGGTTGAAGGTGAAAGTGATGGAGATGTTGAACTGGACATCTGTTTATTAACAAGAAATGAAGTAAAAGAATCCAGTGAACTGAATGAAGGTGATGGTGACAAAGACGTATCTGTAGGACAAGCCGAGCATTCCACTTCTTTAAAGTTAGTCTTCATCCAACCCAGGCTACTTGTTGCATAAGAGGCAAAGGAGTCCGGTGAGTCGCACTGAGGACTGGAAGGCATTGAAAGATCAGCAGGAGCAACACAGTCTTCAACATCTTTACAAGATTCTATCATATCCAGGTCATCACATGTTTGGGTCGTGTTGTAGTTCAATCTAGACGAGGATATAAATTCTTTCACAACACCACTGGAAAACTTCCTTCTCAATCTGCTCCAGCCATTTTCTCTAGCTGGAAGACATGTCTCGGATTCTGCTCCTGATAATGGAAAGGGCGGAACCACCCCACCGGAAAGAGCTTTCTGGAAAATCTCAAAATCGATGTTATATTCATCAACCTTCCTCTGACCAACACATTGATGAGAGGAAGAAGCAATGGTGTCAACCTTGGGAGATGACTCATCTGCTAACTGTTTCTCATAGCCGAGAGCATCCCACAATTCAGACGTCTCCTCACCTTCTTTGATGGTTTTAATGGGACCCTGGGCCCTTTCATAACGAATAACTTGGGAGGCAGCTGCAGTGGCATTATCCAACATCACTGAGAAGCAATGCTTTCCAGTCCAGACAAATATAGCAGAAGGAATTTGAATAATGAATGCCCCACGAGAATCTAGTCTGTTTGCTCCCGGCTCAATCAACATTTTTGGTACAAGATGAAGGGGATCATACGGGGAGTGGGGCGCCATTCGATACATCCTAAGTACAGATGTGGGGCTTGCAGGCTGAGCATGTACCCGTTTCTGGCACAGCAAAAGTTGGCAAGCAAATCCCATATTTGGGTTAGTCACTCCTCTGGCTGCTTTAACATGTTGGAATGCATCCTCAAAGCTCTGCCCCTCTTTCCACATAAGATATGCAATGACCAAAGAGGTTGATCGAGACACCCCCTGGCAACAATGAACAAGAACACGCCCACCTTGTTCTCGTACATCTTCAAAATAATCAAACACATCATAGAGAATACTTGTAATATCCTCTGATGGGCTGTCCCGGAGCCAAAGGGTCTTGTACACGAGCTCATTCTTGAAATATTCAGGACAAACAAACCCCACACAGTTCAACACATGGGTAATTCCATTCCGTTGGAGAATTTCACGACTCTTTGCAATAGCATCGCACCCCAAATATATATGGTCCAAAATCCTTGAGCATTCCTTATCAAAGAAAGCGAGTTTGTCTTTCTTGAATTCAAATTCTCTTGGAGGTTGATCCAAACTCATATTTTCATGGGGTGCCATCGATCCAAGCCTTGCACAGGGAGTGGAGAGATTTGGCCAAATGCCAAGGTCATCTGAGCCAGCTCTTGGCCATTCCTCAATGCTCGGTCTTGTGATCGAGAGAGGATGAAGGGGCGGCAAACAAGCCCGAGCCTTGCTGTTCCATTGTGGCCTACAATTTGACTTTCTTGGTGATCGATCACTCCATGAAACTGATCGTGAATATGTTTTCCTATTAGCACTCGGTAGCTGATTCTTATCCTCGTCCTTAAACATTTCAAAAGTTAAACTGCCAACCTGTAAAACCAGTTAAACCCATTCGAGGATTTTTCCAAGAAACCCCATATCAAACATCAAAATTAACAAAACCTTTACCTGAAATTTCATAATCTTAAAAAAAAAAAAAAAATGAAGAAAGAAAAAAAAATCTTCTGAGGAAAATCCCAAATCATCAAAATTCTAAACATCAAAACACAAATTTTTTTTTTTCAAAGAAATTAAAAATAAAGAGATACCCACATGATGATTCTTAAAGGGAAATATCAAATATATAATTACAATTCAAAAATTGCTGCTATATTCTTACCTAAAACCCTTGACCGTCACCTGTAAATGATTATTTCGCTTCAAATAAAAAAAGAATAAATCAAACGCAACTATGACCGAGTAAACTCCCATAAAAACATAGCTATCATGGGGACATATTTTCCACACAAAGAACAACGAATAATAGAAAAAGTGCATGGAAAATTCAATTATACCATGTAATACTTTCGAGATTTTCTTTGACAAAAAACAAAAAGATACTTACACGAAATAGTTTATTGATTGTTGGGCAATTGCAGCAGTCATCAGATATTATGAAATAAAATTATACAATATATGAACAACAAAGAATACCCGTTCAAATGGTCCTCTGAATATTTTTTAGAGAGAAGAGTCGTAGCTTCGCAGGTAAGCCAGACAAAAACTGAAAAGGACAGATTTGGCAATTTCACAGATATGGAACAAGAACAGGTCAAATTCCCACGTCATCGTGAGAAGATTGATAAGAATTTTGATAATTGATTTTTTAATTGTTAGAAATGAAATGAGTCCTGTGAAAAAAATTTAAAAATAACGGTTAAAATAGTAAAATAATGGTAAAAATTTTAATTGACTTAAAAGTCTGTTTGGAAGTGATTTTTTCCCCAAAAAATAATTTTTTAACTGTTATTCCACTATTTCAATCGTCATATTTGACTTCTTCTCTCACAAGTGGACCTCACTTTTCTCATTGGTCAAAAAATCAATTCTCAAAATCACTTTCAAACAGGCTCTAAAATCTGTACCGAACAAGCTCTAATTTCAAAAGGGTTTTTTCATTAATTTTTTAAGGATTTTAAAAAAATACTAGGTCACCCAACTTTGAGAGAAGTCTCATTTTAGTCCCGAAATTTATTTTGTTCCAAACTTATCACTCAAGTTTCAGTTTTGCTTGGGTTTGATTGCCAATAATGATTTGTCATAAAATTTTAACATCATTTTATTGTGGTAGATAAATTTTCTTACTTCAACAATATAGATGTTAAATGTTAATGGAGCTCTATAGTTGTCCCTTTTAAAAAATAATTATCTTTAATAGAAAAAAATCTTCGCGTTAACAGATGGAATTTGTATTATTCTTAAACCAACATGGCAAATTATGTCATTAGGAGTCCATAAGGAAATATAGTTGCCACGAGGGAAGTAGGTTAACATTGTGACCTTGTGATGATTTCGGATTAAAAATAAAAAATAAAAAAATTGAATGGCTAAATTAAATTTTTACTCAAAGTTGGGTGACCTTCAATTCTTTTAACTCCTTTTAGTATATTTATTTTCCACTCCAAGATGGTGGCTACAAATGAGAAAAAAAGAACGTTATTAGAAAATGACATCAAATCAACAATGGATGCTTTCAAGCCAGAGAAACTGCCAACAAAATGGAAATTTATCATATTTGGTTATTTCTTTCTATTTGTTTTAGGATTCTATAATTTAAGAATTAGTAGCAAATGAAGAAATATCGCCAAGTTGGATCAAATGGACTAGCTAGTAGGTTTTATAACCTTGGTGTGTTCAATCGAGTCGAATTGAAGTGAGAATACAGGTTAAATGGACGACGAAATTAAGCCGTGAAGATCTCAAAAGAAAAACATATTAGGAATAGGAACGCAATACAAAATGGATTTAATTGAATAGACGTAATGAGTACACTAAATGTCGTGATCGATCTATCAATACACTGTAGAATGTAGATTCAAAGTACACAATCCGACTCAATAAAGCTAAATTCCGTGATATTTTCTTCAAAAACATCTTAATTTTAGTATTGGAATATATTTGAATCCATTTTTCTTCATTGTATAATAGCTTAACAAGCTGACAAATTCGTCTATTTTGCAAATTTTGACTAATACTCACTCAAAGAAGTAACCTTATATGCAGATTTCAACATCAACAACCCTTATTCTAAGAAACCGTGGTTGTAAATTGACCATTCTTGGCTGAACTTTTTGTAAAACTGTTTTGCATTTTTTTCTGCAGACAAAATGAAGTGGGCTTACTCTTTCCACTTGTGCCCTACTTGGAGCCAGGCTATTGGTACAAGACAGAAAATAGGAAATTGAGTGGAACTTAGGGATTTTAACGAGTCAAGCTGGTTGCGAGCCAAAACTTGAAGCTCGAACTCGACTCGAGTAAAAATGGTTCGGACTCTTTTTGGCCCTAGCCGAGTTGAGCATTTGCTTAGCCAGAAAACTTAGGTGCGATCCGAGCTTTCAACTATGGCCTTGGCTCAGCTCGCTGCCCTTTTTTTTTTTGTTTTTTTTTTCAGCTGCCTGCTATTGTAGGTAGTTTGTGCTGCCTTATTGTTGCCTTAATTGGCAGCTTTGTTAAATATTTTTTTAAGTTTTACAGGCAGTTGATTTCATTTTTTTTTTTTTTTAGGCTCGGCTCATTATGGGCCGGTCGGAGCCGGGCTGACTCGAACTTTTCCTGATTGAGTCACGGGATGTTCGTTCCGACAAATCGAATTGACACCCTTAGCTGAACGAGGAAATTAGTTCAACTACTTTAAAAAGGGAAGGAATTAGATTAAAATCTTAAACAACTTAAACCTCTTATAACCGTAATTTATACGTCTTAACAAATTCTAAAATCTCTTAACCGAGTACAGAGACCACAATTCCGTCATTTTGCAGAAAAAACCTTAATCACCCACTATGCAGACCACAGTTATACACCAAGGCAGAGAAGAAGAAAACACTACACCCATTTAAGGACTTGTTTTCTTTTCTTTTTGTGGAATGTGGATAGTATTGTTTTAGAAGGTTCAATGATGTTTCATATATTTTTAATTTTCTGATATTTTTTATTTAAATTTTTATTTTTTTGTTGATGGCGTATGTTTTCTGATTTTATGTTTATATGGGTAATGGGTTGGTCATAGATTTTCAGATTTCTGTTGATGAGAAGGGGATTTGCAGCAGCGGCATTAATGCCGGCAATCCAAATTCAATGGAATTGAGATGAGAAAATGATAACCTGGAATGCGTCTCATTAGGCATTGGCTAATATAATGAAATCTCAACTACCATTTTTCACTCTGATGCATCTTTTCTGTTTAATGGAGATAATATTAGTCCAACACTGCCTGAGTTACCGTTATGGGATAAAATCCCATATTAAATAAAAATGAAAACATAAACCAATTTATAGGGTTTGGGCTACTATTCTTAACTTGGTCGACATTTTAAGATGGAACCTTAAATTTTAACATGGTATCAAAACCCATTAAACTCCAATGAACTATTCGATTCGATTAAGACTCAAAAAATTAGCATACAGATTTTAAGATTGATCTACTCAAATGAACCACCATCATGTGAGGGTATGTTAAGTGATAAAATTTCATATCGAATAAAGATGGAAGCATAGATGTCTGGGCTACTCAACTTGGTTGACCTTTAAAGATGGAATCCCAAATTTTAACACTTACAACACTTGAATTATTTGAACCTCAGTTGCAGCAATTTTGAGAGTTGATAATCTTGAGTGGCTTTTTCACCTTTTTTTAAACAGTTGGCTTTCTTCATAATGATAACCGGACAATTTCTGTCTTGTTTTGCTACTCTTTTTTTTTTTT